TACCAGTCTGTGGGGGATTGACCTATTCAGAAGCAGGGTAGAAAAGCAATATCTCTCTGCAACAGTTGTTACTTGCCTATAGGGTTTTATTAGCTTCATAAGACAGCCATTTGCAGAGAGGAACCACACAGTCATACGTCAGTGCTGGAAAACTTTAAATCTGGCTTTATTACTGTAGGTTGGAGAGCCTTGTGTTAATGATTGACTGGGGTTTGTGCGCACATTACAGAGTAATGGTGTGTAATTGCTATTTTGAGGTTGCATAGAGCGGGAAGATGGTCTTATGGCTAAAAGCACAGGACTGGATTTCAGATGTTTTGGGGTCTAGTCTTAGCTCTGCAATAGACTTCCTGTGTGACCTTGGTCAAGTCATGTATAATCGGTCTGTGCCTCAGTTTCGCCTCCAGTAACATAGATCTTTTAAGGCTTAATTTATTAATGTTAATAAGTGGATTTTTAAAAGCACTCAACGGTGGCCTACCTCTGTTCCCATTGAGGTTAATGGCACTTTATCACTGACTTCTATGGAAATAAAATTAGGTCAATGCTAAGTACTTTTGAAAATCCCATCTGCTAAATCCATTTGAGATCCTCAGATTGAAGATTTCAAAGTACTGCAAAATTCTTCCCCTACCCTTGCTACATACACTCCTCCTAAACCTTCTTCACAGAATCATCTCCCTCTGTGCTCACCTCCATTACCCTCATGTTGGGAACACTCTTTGTTTGCCATGTTCCCTCTCTCCCCATTGTCACAGTTACTGGGCTAGCTGCAATTCTGACCCCACCTAGTCTTTTTGAGCATGCCCCCTCTCAGGCATCAGGCTTCTAGCCATCACCTGCCTTGGGGTGGAATCAGGCAACTCTCCCACTCTCAGATCGGGCTCTGGGCTGAAGTCCCCTTTGATCAACCATGATTACCTCAGCAGGCCTGACTTGGGTTCACTACCAGCAGTTCATCTCCATCTGGGAGCTATGGCAGTGGTATCCAGTAATGAAACAGCCTTCTTAAAGCAGAGTATTCATGATTTAGCACCAAAGTATTTCAGAGAAAACCTGTATTAAAATAATACACCAGTCCTATACACATCTGGTTTACCAGGTGTCTATCCATCTTCCACATGGGCACCTGGTAGGCCTAAGATTCCTGTAGCCCCACTCCCTTGCGACCTCTAGGGTCTGATTGGCATAGTCTGTTCCCTTCATTCCCAAATCATTTCTCTCTCCCCCTCCCCCTCCTATTCTTCCCCCTGGCTGCAAGGAGAGTCTACTTTCAAAGCTGTTTAGTCTTTTTGATCACTCTCCTTCCCAGAGACTAAGTCACTTTTAAAATGTTTATAGCCTTTTGGTCTGATAGTTCCCAGCATTGCCAAAACAGCTGTGTTGCTTTGGGCTGCAGACAGGATATAGGATGCTCAAGGCTAATAGCTTAAGTCTTTCAAGTGTGTGCTGGGAAGTTCTGATCTTGAGAATCATCGAGTTACCTTCCTATTTGTTCTTCCCTCCATCCCCATTGAATTAAAGCAATATCGGAAGAATGGAATAAACAGTCCATTACTCCAATGTAAGCATACAGGCTGTCTTGATAGCTAGGTTAGATATAGTATTCATAACTTTATTACAACTCAGAATTCTGAGATTATTACATAGCAGCTGCCCGTCTGTCACAATCACCCTCAAAGTGCATTTCTACCCTGAAAAGTGACTGTAAAATTAACATGCTTATCATGCCTGTTAATGAGTTCATAGCAAATTTGCTCAGTTTACAATTAAAGAACTATAAACTCAACCTGGAATCTGAGTGTCAAACTGTCCTCCTTCCAGCCCATGCCTCATCCCCACTAATACAAATACTGTCAATGGAACTTCACCAACAATTGTGTTGGTGAGACATGAACCAGAAAATAATCTTTGCAGAAGTCAAATGTAGTAAATGTGTTTGTCTCCAAAGTCAGCATATTTGGCTCTCTCTATAGACACACAGTGATCTATTGAGTGGGAAGGAGCCATTTTAATATGGTCACTTTTCCTACCATAACTGCACTTGAAAATATGCTTCTTCCCTACGGCCATTAAGTGAAAATCCACCAAGTATAATTCACATATTATATTATAGGAGGGGCTAATATTAAGGTTGCCTGACACTTTACATTATAAAACACTTTTTTCAGTTGCTTATAACTTTGCCAAACTTTAACTGTTTAGGCTGAAATATTACATGCCAAGTGGCCTCCTCAGACTGAACCTTTTTTTGGAAAAATGTCAGCCAAAATAGTTTAGCCATTCGTGAGAAGGAGGCAAAGGAGAAATATATTGTTTGGCCCCTATTAAAAATTCTGGCAACCTTTTCTTTGAGCAGCTCTAGAGCCCCCATGCTGTGAAGCAGGGACTCGAAAGTTAGCAAGCAGGTAATATTGTGTCAGGGATTGGCCTTTTGCCATCCCCATGAAAACCCACCCACATTTGGCCAAGTTATAAGCCTTTAAAAAAAATCACAGTTTGAACATTCTCAATAGAGACTTGTTTTACTTTAGCAGCTAAAATTTCCAAAGATTTCATCCTCACTGACCATGCTTGAGCTTCTCACAGCAACTAGTACTTAGGCGTTATTACCTAGGTCTACATTACCACTTTTGTTGATAAAACTTTTGTTGGTTAGGGGTGTGAAAAACCCCCACACCTCTGGCCAACATAAGTTTCACTTACAAAAATGCCGGTGTGGACAGCGCTATGTTGGCAGGAGAGGCTTTCTGGCTGACATAGCTAATGCCACTCATTGGGGGGTGGTATAATTATGCCAGCAGGAGATCTCTCTTCTGTTGGCAAAGAGCGGCTACACGGGAGACCTTACATGGCACAGCTGGAGCGGTACAGCTGTGCCACTGTAAGCTTTGTAGTGTAAACATAGCCTCGTTAGACCGTGCAAGCACCATCCCTACAGAGCACCTGAGCATGCTCCATCCCCTTACGGCTACCATGTGGAACTGGAGTGTGCCATCCTCACAGAGCAGCTGAGCGTACTCCATCCCCTCACAGCGTAGAGTTACTGAACATGCTTCTTCTAGCCCAGGGCTACAGGGGTGAAGCTGGACTTTGCTCATAATGGCTGCTCTGGGCCAGGGTGGGGCTGGGCACTGGAACTGAGAGCAAGGGGCCTGACTCTCCTATGTGATTAATGACATCCCTGCTGAGACCCAGACAGCATGGAGGAGGAAGCCACAGGAGTTGAATGTAGAAGATACAAAAGCTGGACCCGGGGGAGGAAAAGGAGTAAATTGTAACCAGAAATTTGGTGAGAATGGAACTGGAGTGAGGAAGAGAGAAACTGTGACTGGGACAGGCTGGGAAAAGATACTGGGACTGGGGAGGCTGGGACTGGGAACCGTGGGGGAATCGAGGTTGTGGACTGGGAGCTAGGAGGAAGGGAGGGGAGGCTGGATTTGGAGCTGGTGAAGGAAATTGGGGAGGGGCTGGGAACCAATTGGCTGGGGTATGACACTCGGATCAGGCAAGGAGCTGGGGGGAGATGGGAGATTGGGACTGGCTGGAAAAAGAGACTATGAATCTGTGGGTAGGGGGAATGAGGGCAGATGGAGGTGAGCCAGATCTCAGAAGGAACTGAGGTGCAGGGGAGAAATGCAATTGGCTGGGCAAAGACACTGGGGCAAGGCACCAGAAAAGGTGTAGGAGGGAGACTGAGATTGGATGAGGGGGTCAGGGAGTGAGATTAGGATTGGGAGCCAATGGGGTGGAGGGAGACAGATCAGACAAGGAACTTGTAAGGGGGCACTGGGACTGGCTGAACAAGGAAACTGGGCATGGGATGAGAAACCTGGGAATGGAGATTGGCACTGAGTAGGCAAAGAGAATGGGACTGGGACAAGGAGCCAAGAGTAGGTCAGAGACAGAACTGGGAAAAAGGACAGGTTGGAGGGGATGGGACAGGAGAGGTCAATCTTGAGGCAAATGAGCAGAGATTCTCTGTGCCCATTCGAGCACATTCTACTCCAGGACCTGGAGTGGAACCCAAGATTCTTTGAGTCTCACCACTCTTCTACTGTCAGTAAAGATCTGGCAAAGTGTATGTCTCATTCCCCTCCAGTGCTGGTCCACATAGAGGATAACAACCTACTTCTTCTGTCAGTTACTCTATTAGTTCAAGTGTCAGAGGTCTGTGTGATAGATCTAAAGATTCTCATCTTGTAGATGAATAATGTGGGTATCGACAAGCTGCCACATGATGGAATTTATGTTTTTACAGTTTGCTTTTCTAAAAATCTAGGAAATTACAAATTACAAAAAACAAACAAACAAAAAACCCTATGTTCACAGAACATTCTTAATATTGCAAGAAGAAAGTTAGGAAATGCCAGAATCAAGGTTGCTCAGGCAACCTTATATTACCGTAACCTTATATATGACCAGTGTAGTTCCCTGAAATTGTTTGGGGAGAATAAGTTAGTCCAAGAGAAAACAAGGACACAGAAGGCCTGATTTTCCAGTGCCTTGCACTTTGTGGCATTTATGTATGTGTAAAATAAGTCCAGAGTAGTTGTCAGCTGCTACCAGTTCAGAATAGCAGCATCTTGCTCTCACTTCACATATGTGTAAGGCCACCAGTTCAGCAGGATACTTAAGAATATGTTAGGCTCAGTGATTTCAATGGGACAGCTCATGCTTAAAGTTGGATTGGAGACTTAGGGCTGGTCTACACCCAGCCGCTAGTTCGGCGGCTGGGGATCGAAGTTCTGGGTTCGACTTATCGCGTCTGGTCTGGACGCGATAAGTCGAACCAGGAAGTGCTCGCCGTCGACTGCGGTACTCCAGCTCGGCGAGAGGAGTACCGCGGAGTCGACGGGGAGCCTGCCTGCCGCGTGTGGACCGCGTCTGAACCACGGTAAGTTCGAACTAAGGTATGTCGACTTCAGCTACGTTATTCACGTAGCTGAAGTTGCGTACATTAGTTCGACTTGGGGGGTTAGTGTAGACCAGGCCTAAGAGCCTGATTCCTATTTTACAGTAGAGCCGCTTTCCACACTGTGGCAGAATACAGGGTATTCAAGGTAGGAGCAAATGTAAATTACAGAGTAATACTGCCACAACAATGAATGGTGGCTTACCAGGAATGGGAGTCAGGCCCTAAATGTCTGCACAGGTGCAAGGCAGCGCAGAATCAGAATTGAAAACGGATTAAATAATAGGATTAAATATTATTACAGTTTCCCAAATTTTACCAAAATACTGCAGGCTGCTATCTTTTGACATTTATTTTTACTTATTTAAAATTTATATATAATATGCAAATTAACTGGCAGCACTTTATGGAAATATTTTAACAAAGCAGGAGCAATACAGGTGCAATATACAGGGACCTTTTGAACCAAAGAACTGTGAGCTTATCCAAAAGGTTAATTGTCCTTTTTCAAACATTGTTGATGTTTATCATGTCTTTTTCTTTCTTCCTGACCATTCCCATTGCCTTGAATATTGGGAACCAGAAGTGGAACTGAGAAGACAGAAAAGGTGTGTTAGTGACATGTTACCACTGAGTACCAGTCCTTCACAGACCCTGCCATCCAGCATCTTAAATGCCAAGAGCTTTTTTTGCATAGAAATCCATTAAAATATATATTTGGGTAGTTCATTGTTTTTTGCATGTGAAAATAAAAAGTTCTTCTCGCTATATGCTATTTGCAGTATCCATTCATTGTGTTTTACAAACAGAACTGCATTAACCATAGTGCATCTTGATTTGCTAGAAACTGAACATTGTTAACAGTAAGAAGCTGATTATTAATACCAATTATTATATGTTTGGATCATGAGAACCCCATTTATAAAGTAGGCACTTTCCACACATATATGAAGACACAGGGCCAGTGCATGATTATCTGGCCTGTTTAGGTGTGCCTGTGTGTTCTAATATAGTTCATGTGTTGTGTGGATAGGACTACATGCTGATAGAACTACAATTTACCTCTCGCCTCAATTCAGGAAAACACTTAAGCATGTACTAAAATCCATTTCTATTCAGGAAAGTATATTAGCATGTGCTTAAAGTTAAGCTAATGTTTAAGTACTTTCCTGAACTGGGGCCTTTATGATCAAGCAGACCAAAACCCTGGATTCAGCTATACCTGGACTTCGGAAAAGTTCTGATCTGCCTCTGAATCTGAACTGTGCAGTTATTCTGAGAGAGAGAGAGAGATTTTTTTCCATAGTGTTCATGGCTTACCTTTGTAGCAAATGAGTTCAATTTCCTTTTTACATTTTTCTGTGGAATCTTTGATCTTTTTCTCAGTAGTTTTGCATGCAGATAATGTATCCGTTTCATCTCTATGTTGGGATAAAATGAAGTTGACACAAGTATTTTAAGTTGCATCAGGGTGGTGGAGAATAATGCAAATATTATTAGACAAAAGATGATGCATCCAAGCTGGAGCCATGTTGAGGAGAGCAAAAACTCTGGTTTAGGGAGGCATTCATGCTTAAACAGCGAAGAGTTAAAGGAAACATTCGTTGTCTTGCGCTCTCCATTGTTGAAAATAAACGTGTTTTCATTTTTCTGTATGGGGGAAAAAGCTGGTTTTAGTACTAATTACTTTCTTTTAAAATAGTTATTGCATTTCATACTCAGCTATGCAGAGTGATCTGTATTAGACATGATGATCTAACCCATCTCCTGTCAGTGAAGGATTGTTCATAACAGTATGTTTACTCGTGAACTCCCCAGTTGTGTGTGAAATGTGCCAAATGATAGGATTTGCACCACGTCTCTTTGGAGTCTGTCCCTCAGTCTAAGGGGTCAAACTGTCAAGATCTTTTTCTTGATGATATTGTCCCTCTCCTTAATTTTATCCTTTTCCTACTGTAAACCATGTCAATTATTCCTCTCTGGTGTTTACACCCTTCAGATATTTGTAGACACGTCTCTGCTTACTTTTCAATTAGGCAAGAGCTAATTACACTCTCCTTTAGTCCAGCTTTACAGGGGTGTAAATGAAAGTGGTATTTTGCTGCTTAATCTTTCCTCATAATTTACTCTCTCTGCCCCCAGCCCCCACCCAATAACTTTTGTTCCTTTTCTCTGATCTCTTGGTATGTCTGATGATTAACAGCTAAAGAGGGGGTGAGGGAAATTTATTCACAAAGGTACTGTGTAAATGAGCCAGTGGATGAGAGAAGAAAGACCACAGTAGACATTCAATATGAAACACAGATACAAAAAATGGAGCCAGATTGTGCCTGTCTTTATCAGGAGTAAAGTGCTCAAGAGGTTGCAGGCTTCATTCTGCTTGACTAGTCTTTGGCCTCTATCTCTGAGACTGACCACTATGGGGCCAATTGTGACGAAGATAGGGTGTTTTTTTTAATGTGGATACCTGCCTACAGGGTATTAGAACCGCTCCATAGGATCCAAATTCCATAGACTTCAAGGAAGTTGAAATAAAGGTTTGAACTTTGCAGCCTGGGCTCTAATCTACTAGGAATTGTACTCATTTCCCACACAGCAGAAAACTGAATAATCAGAAGGCTACATTGTTCAGTCAAATCCATCTCTACGTGACCAGACAGCTCTCTGCAGAACGCAGTTTGGATTAGCCATAGATTATCCTGTTTGTGTACTACTGCCCTCTGTTACAGAGACTCAGTCCTGCTCATTTGTCCAGTGCAGGTAGAACTGATCAAAAGTCAGAATCTCCATCCCATGAAATTCTGGTATTTTGACAATCGCTGATGTCCAAGCTCAAATACTGAGTATTTTTGGGAAATGAAAAGTCCTGAATGAACAGTAGAAACATTTTGCTTCCACTCAGTGAACTGCATTCCTTCACCTGAGCTGCCCTACTGCCTCAAAGGAGTTGCAACTCTGGTGCCTCAAATCCCCATTCTCATCTTTGGGTCAGGCCCCGCAGCCAGATTACATCCCCCATGATGCACTGTGATCATGGGATCCCCATTATATCCCACAGTGGTCCACCCAGAGGGGAAACTGCAATGTATCATGTATGTTATCTGGACAGGGAGTCCACCCAATAGGGGAAAATGAGGGCACGAAGCCCGCAAACTACAAATTCCATGAGACACTGCAGTAGTACAAGTAGATTTGATTAGACAAACTAAAATGTTTCAATTGGGGAAAAACCCAATCCAAAACATTTTGTTTCAATTTTCCCACAGAAATCTTTGATTGTGCAGAAACCACGTTTTCCATAGGAAAAAACATTTTGTTTGAAAATTCTTGACCAGCTGCAGTTACAAGTCTTATAAAGCGAACAGCTCTCTGTCTTTGGAGAGGAAGGAGCCACGGTTGGTTAAGGCAAATTCTCTTGCAACCCCATCCACATCCACTCCTGTAGCAGGGTGGGGGGAAAGAAAGAAGCACAGAGCCTGCTGCTTATAGTAGGGTGGAGGTGGAGAGAAGCACACTCACAGATGCCACTGCTTGGGAAAGTAGGAAGGGTGTGAGAGTGCCATAAAGCGCACTGTTTGGGAAGGCTGAGGGACCATTATCCACAGAAAGCCCCCTGCTCAGGAGGGCAGTGGACCAGCATCTTCATGGAACCCACTGCGTTGGGAATTCCTTTCACCCTTCCTACAGAAGCTATTGCTGTACTGGGGGATGTTTCCCAACAGTCCTCTGTGTGAGTAGGGGCTGTCACCTACAAAGGGATCTGGGTGTGGGAACTTCCCTGTAAAGCCCTCTGCTCAGAGCCGAGAGCATCCCTCAGCGACGCCACTGTTCTTGTCTGAGTGACACAATGAAAATCCCCACATGGATCTTTATTTATGCGGTTTGGGAGAAAGCCAGAGCATTAGAACCCTCTGCTCAGATGCAGAATGGAGGGAGGAGATCCCCAGTCATCTGGTTGGGGTTGTCAGGGTCTCTCCCACGAGCGGCCCTCTGAGCAGCTGTGGGTCCCAAAGAACAGCAAGTGTAGACCAGAGCCCTCTTCCCCAGGCCTACCATGCTTATTGCTTAAAATTTGTAGAGGCAGGAAGTCTGTCCCTTTGAAGAAGGGGGATCTGAGGTTGTACCCCATGATTGCTGTGAAGATCAGAGTGGCCACGATGTGCAGTAGAGCTGCCATGGTTCCATTATACTGTTTATGCTAACATACTTTCAGAAGCTTTGCAAATTGATTTCAAGGACTATATATGAGAATCCTTCACAGTGCTCACTGGCTAGGGAATAAACGAGCAGTAACTGGGTGTGAAACCTGAACTCAGGTTTTCTCCATAGCATTGTAGAACACCCCCAGAAATATGAGAGGCAGTGGATTTGAATTTAGTATTCTCTTGGTTTTTAAGGTGAGTGTCTTCTATACTTCCCTTTTGAAGATGGGCCATCAATTTAATTTTATTTATTGAAATGAGTAAAATATCTGACACACATGAGAGAAAGAAAAAAAAATTGTCTTGGCAGATCAAATATTAAATCATTTAAAATCCCTTTCTGTTTGGTTGTAACTTGAAGCAAATACCTAATTATTTTCCTCATTTTAAGAACCCTCCTCTTCAGAACACCTGAGATTTTTATAATTGCTTCTTGTATAAATGAACTCTTTTTGGGGGAGGGGGGGATTAGTGTTAGCACAATTAACCCCAAGAAGAAGTAATAAGAAATGTACTTGCTGAGCAGCAAGAAATTAACAGTAGAGGAATGAACATGTGCTACACTGTACATAGATGTACATAGTTAAACATCTTGAAATCCCTTTGAAACTTCTTGATCCCCAAGGTATCAAGAAGTTGTGTACTTTATGTAAGGTGTTTAGGCCCTAATCCTGCAAGCCACCCTGGGTGGGCAGACCTCCTGTGCCTTTGCAGGCCCTACTGATGTCTATGTGGCTCCACCCATGGAGCAGCTTGCAGGACCACCAACTTTGTTTGCAAGTATAAGAATTTGAGGGTAAAATGTTGATTGTTCCCTCCCTGTGGCATTCCATTGTGAGATCCACTATAGGTATTTAGAATGCAAATTACTAGAGAATTCATAGAACATTTAGGTGGAATCCTCTTCCTAGCACACAAGCTTTCAATGCCTGTTAGTCAGTTTGGGTGGCTGATGATGCTGTTGTTATGGGTAAAACAGCCCAGAATAAAGAGTATAAATTGTTAAAATGGCTTCCAGTACAAAAAGTACTGTATATAGAAAGCAGGAATCCTTGTGTGCTTAAAAGGAAACGAAGCTATTCATAAAGAGGAATTAAACACTAGAGCTTTCTTCTGAGACATATTTTACATTTGTTGCCTTCCTCTGTAATAAACCAAGGGCGTTACCATTTTGTGTCAGAGTACTGGTTCCTGTTTAAAATATTCTGTGATTTCAATCCTCACCTAAGAAACCTTTCAGTAATGTCACACTCCCAAGAGTTCGTATTTAAACACTATGTGAAGCTTCAGGGTAACTTGTTGCCAGAAAGTTTATGGTGATTGGGCTCAAGTGGCACAAATTTATGAAGGAGAAGCTGTTGTGAACAGAAATCTCAGGGAGGCTGGAAGTTCCTTATGGAAGACATGACCCTTTGTGTAAGGGTCTAACTAGAATAAAGTTGCCACCCCACCCGTTTACCTGACTGATTTTGTTTGGGGCACCCTACTTTGGCCTACTGCAAGTTGCAGGGCGGTTCTTTTAGATGGGAGCCATTTCTATGTTATAAATGCTCAAGGGAATTCTTTAAATAAAATGTGGCCACAGAGATCTTCTTCCTCACTCAGGAGCAGATCCAAGATGGAGACTGCATGGAATACATGCGTAAGTGTCACTGCGCAATATACTTGAGGAACACAGTGGAGTTGGTAAAATAGTTTTAACATTTGCTCCTGGATGATTCAATATTATGTTAAATGGTGAAATCTTTAACCAACTCAGCTGCAGCCAGAGACATCTCTTCTGTCACTTTCATGGTGGTATCATTTACTATAAAAGTGGTGACCTACAGAGACCTTATCACTAATAGGCTCCCAGGATTATGCTCTTGAGAGCAAAGGACAGAGAGTTTCAAGCAGGACCTCTCTGTGGAACTCCATACCACCAGAGAGCATCTTGTTAGAATGCAATGCAAAACTTCTCTCTTTGTGTGGACCTTCCCCACAATACATCAACATACAGACTGGCTGGTGAAACTGTCCCTTCTCCTACATATCTTCCCCTAGAAATATGAAACCAAAGAAAGAGCAGAGAATTGTCTGGTCCCATACAGCAAAATTACTTGAAGCATTGTATTTGGTGCACAGACACCATGGTAATGACCCTACTAGAAATACATGAATAGATGGGTAATGGTGACTTCTCTGGAATGAAAGAGTCGAGGGAAGTATCTATGGGCTTGATCGAGCATCCACTGAAGTCAAGAGGAATTTTTCTATACTAAAAGTTATCAGGAGCAATATATTGTATTATAGATAAGGTACTTACTTGGTACCTGACTTTCAAATTAACCTCTAGCGCTGGTAATGCTTGGAGATGCTTGCTCACTGAAAAAATTAGCCAGTAAAGCAAATAATCTACTGCTGCAAACAGAACCCAGATGCAAAGATTAGTAAATACAGGGATTAGAACACGTCCTATGCTTTTCCTTTCCTTGTGTGTTAGGCAGAGGGATGGGACGATCACATACTTTTTTCTTTCTTTTTTACTGAGTGGAAGAACACAGGGCTTTTGTTGCTGCCTTTGGTGCTCATCAAATTTAATGAACTGTTTTGTAATGTAAATATTCTTAAACTTCACACTATGAGTGCCCAAGAATTTTCTGAAGAAAAGGTATGTGCCAAGAGGAACTAGAAGAATTCCTATTATAGGCAACAACCCCTGGTTTATATAGGGCTGTATAGCCAGTATAGAAGATATATGGTTAGTAACACTCTGGATTTGTTGTTTTGTGTTGTTTAACTTCATTTTCAAATTTTCATCTGAAATTAAGTAAGAGACATTGAATTTATCACTCAGTGATACTACTTCTTCCACTGGGTTACTTAAACGTTTAGTCTCATTATAAATCCACTGAATTATTTTAATATAGTCTTTTATAAAGGAAAATCGCTCAATCTCTAGATTGCAAACTATACTGTCTGCCAATATCTTTAGGTTGTGAAAAATATTTTGGATGTTGCCAGCTACCACGACACCAGTCCCAGCAGCAATAAGCGCATTTCTACCTTCACGCAAGCTGCAAGAAAGAACAAACAGTGTGCCAAAGCAGCGCATGTGCTTGGAGGAACACAACCCAGTAGACAGGCCAATCCAGGTGGACCCAGAAATTGCTAAGGAAACCAAAGGATAGTGTGCTAGAAAGGAATGCAAGCCAAGAAATAAGAGGCTGCTTATGATGAAGCTAACAGTAGAGCAAACTGCAAAAAGCTGCAACAGATTCTTCCAGCCAGGCTTCCTCTCTGATACAAAAAGTCCCCAAATGTGTCGAGTTATTGAGGCAAAAATTCTCATTTTCTTCTGAAGGTTGGTAATCCACTGATGGCTCATACTAGAAATAAAGGAAAAGAAAACATGTCATTAGTCACAGTTAGCTGCAGTCTATTAGTAATATGCTTTCAACTGACTGACAAACAACTCTTTGCATTACAAAATCTGCAGGGGGCTGGGGGATGGGGAAGAGAATGGGGCAGCCAGAGAGGACTCCGAACCAGAAGGACCATCTCCATGGTGCAAAAGGATAGCTCCATCTGTATGCCCATTCAGTCCTTCACCTCTCACCAATTGTTTTGGCAAAGTGGCTGATGCAAAAGATACTTTAGCATTTTTCAAAATATTTGCATCCTTTTTCTTAAATTGTATATATATATATATATATATATATATAGATTTAGTGTTTGACTTTATATATAATCATTTTGGGATAGACTGGGTCCTCATGCTACAGGGCGGTGCATGGGAGTAAGAGCCACCCTTCCCCTCAAGCCCACACCTACTCCCCTGCACAGTTATGTTAGCTTTGCCAGAAGCTGTGAGCAGAAGATGCACACCCAGTACTTCCCATTGTGATAGTTTTTTTTTTTTTTTTTTTTTTAAATATCAGGGTTAGAAGGGACCTCAGGGGGGTCATCTAGTCCAATCCCCTGCTCAAAGCAGGACCAATCCCCAATTTTTGCCCCAGATTCCTAAATGGCCCCCTCGTGGATTGAACTCATCACCCTGGGTTTAGCAGACCAATGCTCAAACCACTGAGCTATCCCTCCTCCTGAATTGGCCTAACCCCCCCCCCCCCCCCCCC